GCAGCATGCATCAGCTGGGTGGACACGCCAGCACTTGTACACTAGGCAGCAACAATGCAAACATGCACTCACACAGCAGACACAACGTGGACCCACGCACGGGCCTGGGCAAGTTTTATGCACTACCCTCGTGAGGGTAGTGCATAAAACTTAATTTGGTGCAACACCAAGAACAAGCAGGAATTGCAAATGGGACACAGGGTTTCGCATCTGAGACGAATATCTTATGCGTGTATTGGATGAGGCAGGCTGCACATACACATGTGTACTCTGGTGTGGATAAATCTGCTTGCATGTGCATGCATTACGAAGTGCATTCACGCGGCAGCCAGTGCATCTAGTCCAAGAATATTAAATATGTAGTGAGGTGTACGAACAGCGCAAATGTTGTTTGTCAGAGTCAAACAGTGGGTCAGGCGAATGGTGCGGCAAATCCGCAATGTTCACATCGATGACTGTGTCCTTCTCTCCTCTGCTACAGGTTAGCACGTGCATTGCCTGCAGTTGTAGTACAATAAGTACATAAGAACAACCGCAACAAAGATATATAATGAATACAATATACACATAATGCGTTTGCAAGTGCATTACCAGTTTTCTTCGTTTTGTCTGCGGTTCTGGTTATGCGTATGCTTCTGATTTGGTCCCTCTCTTTCTTTCTGTCTCCGTTGCTGTTGCGGTTCAATTCCACCCTCTGTCTCTGTGTCTATGCCTCTATTCGTTATTTTGCCTTAATGATGTTAAGCACAGTGTACTACCAATTCGAATGTACGGACGATACGTTAGTACATCTCTCTTTGTTGCCTCTGCTTTCTTTTCTCCTATTTTGTATTCCTTTTCGCCGTTGTTTTGCCTACCTTCGGCTCTCTTTGTTTGTTTTGTTCCTTTCTTAATCTGTCCGTTTGTTTTCTTCTGTCTTTATGTGCGTTGCTTTCTGTTGGTGAGTGCTGTCTTTCTGCTTCCTCCGTTTGTCTTACACTGTTTCCTACTGGCTATTTTGATGGTTAATTTTCTGCCTTTGTCACCAACGCATTTTAGGATACGGCTTCGACAGCCTGGAACGCCGCATCGGTGAACTGCTGTCAGAAGACTCCGGGGGAGAGGCAGAAGGGAGCGCAAACATAGGAGGAAACACACAAAACCAGGAGACCGAAGGGAGATTCATGTTTGTTGTGGGGCGGGTCAACGCGGGCAAATCTACTTTTGTGAACCGCTTCCTCAAATTCGTCGGCTATAAGTTAGAAATACAATTGCTGCTGTACTTGGTGCTGCTGCGACTCCTCGTTTTGTTGATCTTGCTCTTGCTGTTGCTGCTGCTCCTCGTGCTGCTGTTCTTCCCCTTAATCCTCTGCTTGATGTTGCTGTTGCTCTTGCTGCTGTAGATATTGCTGCTACTGCTATTGATGTGCCGATGCGGCCGTTGTTGCTGGTTTTGCTGCTGCTGCTCTTGCCGTTGCTGCTGCTGGTGCTGTTGCTTCTTCTGCACTTGCCACTGCAGTAGTGAGTATTATTAACGCTTCTCCAGCAGGTCTTCCTGAGAGTTTTGGTCGTGCTGCTACTGCTTTGTTGATGCGGTCTTACTGAGGGTTGTAGTTTTGTTGCTGCTGCGTGTGTTGCTCCAGTCACATTTTCTTCTTTGCAAATACCGTCTTGCTGTTTGTTAACGATGGATGCTCTTATCCATGCTATTTTGATTCCAGTTATTAAGTTATTGTATGCATCTTTGTTTGAGTCTTCTCCACGGACATGGCTTCTCCACAGAGGGGCTTGTCTGCTGCAGGAGCGAACTATAGAATTAGCTGAAGTGATTATTTTCGTATCTGTACATCGAAAAGGTTGCTGCGTATGCTTGAGGGAAAATCATTATTCCTGTCTTCGTGGGTAGTATTGCTTGCATGCTTGTACTGCGTCTGCCTGATAATCATCATGCCGAATTTCGTTGGTTTTTGCCGTTGTTTACTCTCACGTATGTCAAACTGGACTTTTACTGAATATATCTTGAAACATACATGAATATTGTACGTCAACACTTGTTTTAACTAGTGCATTGCTGCAAAAGATATTTAGCCTTTTTGCCATAATCGACGTATTAAATCTGGATCTGACTTCACCTACGTCGTGAGTCTTTCCATTTGAAGCGTTCTAGCTTTCGGCGCATTTGACTTGGGAAAACATTATTGTTGGTGTTTTGATTGCTCACAGACACTTTGGAACGCTCTTCATGAAGCGTGCTGTAGGCGGAGCGACACGTTCTCCGCTCCCGGGCACAACTTTAGATTTGATTCCTTTCGGGCTTCCTAAAGGATTTAAAGTCATCGACACCCCAGGCATTCCTTCACAGAATCAGGCAAGGAGATGCAAGATTTGGGGTTTGTGGTTTATGGTGAACAGTGTAGGGTTTCTTGTCTGGAGCTTATATCTAGGGCACAGGGTCTGGAGAGGCTCTGGCGTTAGCTAGTTTCCGTGCTTGCGGTGTAACTAGGACTGAGGTCTTGGTAGATGTGTGCGGTTTTTTTTTTCTCGTCTTCCAGATGGCCAATGTATTGCAGCACGGAGGCGATCTGCTTTCCGTGGTGCCTACAAAGCGAATTCAACCCCTGACATTCGCTTTGACGGAAGGAAAAACCCTTTTAATTGGAGCGCTGGTTCGCGTAGACCTCGTGCATGGAAACACTGCACTCTGCACCTGCTACTTCAGCCACAAAGTCACACTACACATCTGCAGGTTGGCGCATTCAAATCCATCTGTTATGCCACAAGACGGTTGTGTAGGGAGAAGGGCTTAGCCCTTAACAGTACAGCTGCTGTAGGGTGTAGGGTTTAGTTTGTGGGAGTGCGTAGGACGAGCAAAGCGGCAGACCTACTGAATCGCAAGGCCGGAGTCTTCCTTTATCCTCCCCATCTACCGGAGGGCTTCAACAGTCTGCAGCCCCTAGTTCGCCACAGGTATATGACAGAAAAACACGCATGCATCCATCCAAGTATTTGTACGTATCTGCACAGCACGGTGCATGCATGCCTGCATGAGTGCATGCACATGCATATATGCTCTTGCGCTATGCATGCAAAGGCAAAACTCGCTTGCCACTTGCTCTATGCTCGCATGGCTGTTTTCTGTTTGGTTGGTGTCTGCATATTGCTGTTTATTGCTTGTTTGGCTGTTGACAGCTCTGAGTTTGTCCTGCGTCCCACTTGGTCGGTTTGATAATATCTGATTTTTCTTCTATAGTATTGCGGTGCCTTTGTGTTACGTTTCATCATTCCTCCTCCTCTCTGCATGCGCGAGTGTGTTGGTGTTTTGTCTGCTGCTGCTGCTCTGTTTGCACTAGGGTTGAGGTATATGGGGGCCGCTTCACAGCCCACGACGACATCAGCATTGGGGGTTTAGGTTGGTTTAGTGTGGCGGGGAGCGGCGTAAAGGCGTTTGACGTTTGGCTGCCTAAAGGCGTGAAGCTCTTCAGGAGACCCGCGCTGTTTCCTAATCAAATTCGAAAGGCACCCCCGCAAACATTTCGCTCGAAAACACCAAGGCGAGACACTCACTCAACAGCAACACTACACGCCTTTTCTGCTGTTGCTGCTGCTAATGGTGGTCCTGGTGCTGCTGCTGGCGCTACTGCTGCTTGTGCTTCTGCTGAGGCAGCGCAAGCTGCTGCACTTGCCGTTGCTGCTGCCGCCGTTTATCCTGCATCTGTTGCTCCTGCTACTGCCGGTGTTCCTGGACGTGCTGCTGTTCCTTGCTGATGCTGCTGCTTGCTACTGCAGCTGGCGTACCTGGAGCGCGCCGCTCCACATATGCACAGTTCATGACTTGCAGTGTACTGCTGAGATGCATTTAGAGGAAGGGATCTGGTGCTTTTCAGGGTTTAGGGCTTGGGATGTACATACAGCTGCGTGCGCACTTGCTGCAGAGCCCGGGGCCCACGAATTAGTGCGCAGAAGAGAGCTTTGGCAGAGCAGATCAAAGAAGAGGAATTGAGACAGCAGCAGCAGCAGCGGCAAGAGAACGAAGATGCAGAGACAGACAGTGAGACTGAGTGTCGTTGGGAGGTGACACATTCAAAGCCGAAAACAACGGGAGACACAGAAGCAGCACCTCTTGTGGCTCCTGAAAACAAAGAAGAATTCCAATTGCTTGTTTCGCAATGGTTAGAAGAAGGCAAATATCAAGACCAGCAGCAGCAGCAGCAGGCGTGAACTGGCAAGTAAAAGACAGGTTTTGCTGTCTCAGCAGCAACGAGTTGTTTATTCATTTGCTTTTAAGTCGTACAAACCACGGGGCTTCAAAGCACTATCATTATTGCCGATTGTTGTTCAATAACCAGACACATAATTCTGCAACTTGTACAGTTTACAAATTCCAATACAAACGACAGCAACACCAACAGCAGCAAGCAAGAAGCAACGACAAACAACAAATAACAGCTTCACTGCAAGCATCGAGCAACATCTTCCTCTCGAGAACTCCTAGTACTTACTATCGCTAGCAGTATATTAACTCTCTGCTGCACCCGCATCTGTTGCCAGTCAGTTGGGGGGTAGTGAATTGTCTAAATACAAAGAATGAAGAAATGAAACCTCCTCAAATAAGACGCTTCCAGTACACCCCAGCGCTACCGAACAGGCAGATTATTAACAAATAGAAAATACAACCATATGTACTTTTTTGTTATATGCTATCTGTTATATATCGTCTTGTCAGGGATATGCTGCTTCTCAAATCCATCGAATATTTCGGCTATTGTGTGTAAGCGAAAGAACAGCAGTTATGCACTAAACAAGTGCGATGCATTTGTATCCCTTGTCTGTACAACTCATTTGTACACTGAAAACAAACCAGAACTCTCTATATATATTACATATGTTATCAAAGAATAGCGTAAAAGTAGAAAAAAGACAATGCAAGTGAGGCAGGATTCTGGAGCCGGAAAAACGGACAAAAAAGTAGAAACTAAAAGGGGAAAACAGTCTGGGGTTTGTTGTTTGTGTTGCTGCGTTGTCTATTCATCTTTCGGTCGTTTCGCTCTTTCCTGCTGCTCCTTGGCTGCATTTGCTGCCTGCTGCTGCTGCTGCTTGGCTACATTCGCTGCCTCGTGCTGCTGCTGGGGCTTGGCAGCATTTGCTGCCTGCTGCTGCTGCTGCTCGGGCTTTGCTTCTTCATCTTCTTCTACCTTTACAGCCCGCAGATGCAGCTGAGGAGAAACCTTCGTGCGGAGCCGTCTTAGTTTGAGGACGGCAGCCTCGTCTTCTTCGTCTGTTGGGTTGTTTAGTACACCGTTGCCCTCTGTCTCAGCGTTCTCTCCTGCTGCTGCTATTGCTGCTGCTGCTGCTGCTGCTGCTGCAGCTGCTGCTGTTGCTGTCTTTGGCCGACGGCCTGCTGTTGCTTCAACATGCACGCGCTGTGACGCTTTTGCTACTGCCTCCTGCTGCTGCTGCAGCCGCAGCGCATCTTTCTGCATTTGGGCCTCAAAGGCTACGCCGCAGCAACACACCGCAAACCCCAGACCCTGAACCCTAAACCCCGAACCCTCAACAGGGCACAGCACAGCTTGTCAGCGCGCGAGTACGCTACGTCCAGGAATTGGCCTTCTACACAAGATTAATAAGGAGAGTATTCTAACCAGCAGCAGCGGCAGCAGTAGCAGCAGCAGCAGTAGCAGGAAGCCTTAGACGGAGCAAGGAGACGTTTGTTCAATACCTGCTGTTGCTGCATCTTCCTCTGCCTGCAGTAATCCTCCCCCCATCCCCATTTTGCGAATTGAAAAAAACATCGGCCCCAGCTCCGCCAGCCAGCGCGCGTCTACCGCTGTCACCTGAGGGAATAGAGAAACAAGACCCAAATAAAACAAATAAAACAAAGAATAAAAACAAAACAGTCCAACATAAAAACAAAACAACAAATGAAACAACAGATGAAAGGACACATAACAATAGTTCGGCTACAGATGTAGCAACGGCAAAACAACAAGTAATGCAAAGACAACAGCAACAACAAAGTAAAGGGGCAATCCGAGCCACGCAAGACCACCGTAAAACCCTAAACCCTAGGCCGTAACAGACATTTCTCATGTATTCTTTGGTGGTGAGGAGAAGTTCGTGGTAGACGACGTATTCAGGTGTGTATCCAGCTGAGTAGAGAGCCGAAGTCGGATGAACATGACAGGGAACTGAAGTCCTCAAGTTTACATATTCTCCTATGCCTCGAAGTTTAGCAGCATGATGAAAATACCCGGCGCAGATGGCCTGCACGCAGAAATAGAAAGAGCAAAAAGTATGGCGTTGGTGGCTGTCTCTCGTCGCACAATCATAAAGAAAGAAAAAAGAAAGAAAAAAAAAGAAACAGCAGAAATGACGTTAATTAAACAGGCAGCACGACATACACTGAAATGCATTGCATGGAAAACAAAGGAACATCAAAGGCAGACAAAACGGAAGGCAGACATATACCATACCAGAGCACAAGAGATAGCAGAGAGTGCATATAAAGCCACATCTAAAGAAGCAAAAGAAGACGGGAGAGAAGGCAGAAACAGACTAAATAGAGACACCTGTTTAGGCACATCTCAATAAATAGCGCAAGGAGACAGTAGAGAAGGGAGAGGAGGTCATCTACGAAGCACAAGAAGAAAGCGCAGAAGATTGAAAGAGACAACGTATAAATACCTTTCTAAGCACATCCCAGTCCGTCCCGCAAGATACTTCGGGTATTCCTTGTTGCTTCATCGTGTCCACCAACTGATCGCGAACTTCACGCGCCTTCTGCATCGCCTGTTGATATACAAAACAGAAAACATATATATTGTATATACGTATACATGTACAAGTACCCACTTAATTGTTTATTAACCATCAAGTACATGAAATAATACATAGAAATGAAACAAATAATACATACAATACAACGATAAAAATACGCATATTGATATATGCTTGCATATTGATTAATATATGAACAAGTACATATATATATATATATATATATATATATATATATATATATATATATAACGCGCGGATACTTGCATATTTAAACGCTTTCTGAATCGAACGACAAGTTGCGAAGACACCCCAAACGAATACTTGTTTAAACGGTGGCAGTAACCGTTTCAACGCAGCATCACTGAAGACGACAACAAAAACAGCGCCATCCACAGAGAAGGCTGTACAGGCTATATACCGTGCGAAGCGACAGCAGCAGCAGCAGCAACAGCAAGAGCAGAAGCAGCAGATCGGTGTGCAACAGCAGTGCAGACCGCCGCATTCCAAGGGGGCAGTGAGAAGGGGACAAGCGACCGAGCATAACGGTATAAATAAATGATGAGCCGTTGAGGGTGGGTGTATGCCACTTATAGAAAGAAGAAGGAAGAAGAATAGAAGAGGAAGAAAAGAAGAAGCAAACGGACCTTCGGTTGTACGAAGTGTTTTAAACACCATTGCGCGCTGCACTTTGCGCGTTTCCACTGCTGAAAGACATTGAGGAGCGTTAAGTGATCGCTTTCAGGAACGAAGAATTTCTCCTTTAGGCTTTCTGCTTCTTGTTGCTTCTCCTTTGCAATAAAGAAGATAGAAGGAACAGAGAGAAGAGAAACGATAGACACGAGCTCGCTAACCCCCCCGAGTTCTGCTGCAGCCAGCAGCATCTTAGAGAGGGGAGGATCCAAAGGAAACGCTGACATTTTTTGTCCCGTTTGCGTGATGCCTCCGTTGTTATCTAAAGCCCCCAGTATCCAAAGTTGAAACATCGCATCGAGAAGGTTGTCTTGAGGAGGAGGGTCAATAAGATCGAAGTCTTGCAGGTTCTGTACGCCTATGCTTTTAAGCAGGAGTACAACATTGCTTAGGTTGGTGCGCTGTACTTCAGGTACTGTAAGAGGCAGCATTTCTCGAATAAATGCCGTTTCGGTGTATAGACGATAGCACTTGCCGGGGCCCGTACGTCCTGCTCTTCCTTTTCTCTGGTTTGCGTTCGCTTGAGATATCGGAGTAACTTGCAATGAATCCATACCTATTGAAGGATTGAACACCTTCAACTTGCATAACCCGCAATCCACAACATAGCGCACGCCATCTACAGTCAGCGAAGTTTCAGCGATATTTGTTGCAACAATTACTTTTCTAAACTTAGATGGTTCGAATATCTTCGCCTGAAGATCAGCAGGAAGCTGCGAATATATAGGAAGAATTGTTAACGGGGGAGCGCGCTCCCCTAGCTGCTCTAGACGGGTAGCGAGAAGAATGCAAGACACCTCGATATCATCTTGCCCTGTCATGAATAGAAGAATATCTCCTCCTCCTTCTTCATCTGCTGGTGCTCCTGCTGGATCCTCCCCAGCAGCAGCAGCAGCAGCAGCAGCCATCCCCCCACAAGGCGTGCTACAGTGAATTGAGAGGCACTTCTGCACTGCAGCATCAACGTAATCATCGGGCAGACACCGCGCAAACTCAACTTCTACTGGAAATGTCCTTCCAGGGATATTAAATATCGCAGCCCCCCCGAAAAAAGAAGAAAAACGATCGGCATCCATCGTTGCAGATGTCACTATCAATTTGAAATCTCGACGCCGACTAACTACGCCCTTCAGCACTCCAAACAATATATCTGTATTTAGTGATCTGCACAAGAAACAAAGTGAAAAAGAAACAAAACACCATTTTAATTAAACAACTTCAAATATAAAATAAACAAGCGGCAATGAACAACATACTACACATATCAAACAAGAGAGAATAAACACTCAACACCATGCAACAAACACTTACAAGTTGCAAATAAAAATAAACAAGAAACCCAATCCTCTAAACTCTAAAGCCCAGTCACGCGGCCAGCCCAGCAGCAGCAGCAGCAGCAAAAACAACAACAAACAGCAAACGACGCCGCAACAACCGCACCACCGACAGAACACGCACCAGCAGCATCAGCAAAATTCACCAGCAGCAGCAACAGCAGCAGCATCAGCAACAACGCACCAACCCAGCGAGAGCAACACCAGCAGCAACAGCAGTAGCACACAACAACACAGCAAAAAAGCACCAGCATCAGCAGCAGCAACAACAGCAGCAGCAGCCGCAGCATGGTGCCTACCTTTCGTGTGCTTCATCCATGATGATGCAGCTGTATTTATCAAGATCTGGATCGCTGAGGCTTTCCCTGAGTAGTACACCGTCTGTCATATATTTAATTGCAGTTTCTTGCGAAGTGCAATCTTCAAAACGTATCGAATAACCGACAGTGGTGCCTAACTCAACCCCCATCTCCTCCGCTACACGCTTAGCAACAGAGACAGCAGCAACGCGCCTTGGCTGCGTACAGCCTATAATGCCAGTAGAAAATAAAGCTGCTCCTGCTGCTCCTCCTGCTGCTGCTTCTGCTTCTGCTGCTGCTGCTGCTGCTGCTGCGGATCTCGAGGTAGTTCTGAGTGGCACTGCTGTTGCTGCTGCTGCTGCTGCTGCTGCAGCAGCAGGCGATGTTGCATATCCTTCTTCTAAGAGATACTGCGTCAGCTGCGTTGTCTTCCCGCTGCCTGTCTCGCCAACTACAACAACAATTTGGTGTTCTCTGCAAACAGCAATAAATTCATCTCGAACCTTAAAGACAGGGAGGGACTGCCGCTGCTGCTGCACTGTTTGCTGCGTGCAGAAAGCAGAAACTTGTGCGTCTTTAGCAGCTACAAACGCAGCAGCGTAGCCTTCGCGGGTGCTGCGTCGCCCCCCTGCTGCTGCTTCCGCTTCTTCCGCTGCTGCTGCTGCTGCTGCTGCTTCCTCTGCTGCTGCTGCTGCATCACGCCCCTCCGCACCCTGCAGCAACTTGCCGAGAGTCGAACCCGCGACCTCCCAGAAACGCTGACGCACTGCTGCTCTGTCTTCTCTGTCTTTTGTGTAGCGTAACACTGCGCTTCCCTTCCTGAGACGCAGAAACGAAGGAGAAAGAAACCCTAAACCCTAAACCCCAAACTGCAAACCCTAAACCCTAATCCCTAAACCCTAAACCACAACGAAGCCGCCTCAACCAGCAAGCGCAACGGCACCTCCTTCAGAGAATACACACAAACATAAAAGCTACGGCCCTCTATGCACAAGCCAGGGTTGCAGTGTACAGATAGCTAAGAGGTCAGTACGATGCAGAAGAGACAAAGAAAGCAAAGGGAAGAAGAGGAGTACGAGAAGAAGAAGATCAGCAGCAAACTCGTTTAAATGTTGATATAAATACCTTGCTAATGTCGCCATATCACTTGTTGCATCTCTAACGACGCTAACGTTTCTCTCGGACGGTTTATACCCCGAAAGAAAGGGAGGCAGCAACTGTCTGCAAATAACATGTTCCTTCTCTGTTTCTTCTGCATCTTCTTCTTCTAACGACAACTCGCGACGCTGGCCCGCCCCTCCTCTATTCATCAGCAGCTCTTCCCAGAGCTCGTTGTCTCGGTGTCTCTGCATCTCTGCTAGAGAGCGCCCTGGGGCCCCCGCTGGGGCCCCCCCTTTCAAACTTTTCAACTTTTCCTCTTTCGCCAGATGATGAACATCCTCCTCCTCGTAGTCGCCCAGCTGCAAGCCCGAGCTGTCGTCGCGGTCGTACCTGAGGTATACGTACAGCCCAAATGCAGGGGGAATAATAATGAAACTTAGGGTTTTGCTTGAAGTACTCTTGCATGCATTGCAATATATATAAATTAAATAAGCACTGTTGTCGTTGTAACTCACCACATTCGCTGTAAAGCCCTTTCTGCTTCTTCTTCTTCTGTCGTCGGGACAGACGTAGCTACACGCCTCTTCTCCCCCTCCAACGCCAATTCAATTGCTTTTCGCCTCTCCTCCTGTACCTTCGGATCTACAGGGGGCCCCCAGCCAGATGAGCTTTGCCCCTCTTGAAGCTTCTCAGCCTCCTCAGCCTCCGACCAACCGGTGCGCCGTTGACGCTTCGGGGGCCCCCCAGAAACCTCACCAATGCCAGCAGCACCTGCTGCACCATCTGCTGCTGCAGATTTTGAAGCTGCTGATTCTGCTGCTGCTGCAGCAAACTCCGCAGCGCGACGAGCGAGGAACTCTTTGTGCGTCAGAGACGGCTTCACGGAAGGGCCTATCGCCTGCTCCTGCTGCTGCTGCTGTCCTTGACGTCGCATACGGGGCCGAAACACCGGGACTGGAAACGAGCCATCGCTGTTGCTGCTGCTGCTGCTGCTGCCGTTGTTGTCGTTGCTGCTGTTGCTTCTGGGCGCGAGCAAACGGCGCCGCTGCTGCTGCTGCGGCTCTTGCTGTTGCGGTAGCTGCGGGAACTGCAGCTCCGAGGCTTGTGGTGTCTCATCAGCCTCCTCATCGTCTATGAAGCTTAGCATCTCCCACGCAAACCCTAAACCCTAAACCCTAAACCCTAAGCCCCAATGCCTCACGCCGCCGGAAACAGAACACTGAACCCGAAACCGCCAGCTGCAGTGCTGCAGAGGGTTCAAACAAAAAGGAAAAAAGAAATAAGAAGAAGAAATAGTTAATTTATTTTAAAGTTATCGAACGAAAAGCAAGAAACTTAGGGCCTCGTACGAGTAGGTACGGGGGGCCCCAAAGGGGGCCCCGCCGTAGTAAACAGCGAGCTCAGCTGTTATACTGTGGGTGTACCCTATTTTAACGCTACTGTGTTAAGAGATTATATTTAAGGAGTAAACACAGCCTATCTGGGTTATATATAACAACTCAGAGATTCAAAAAACAACTTTAAAACATATTCAAGTTCATGAATGTTTAATAAGGAAACCCTAGAATAATGCTCTGAGATCTGACTAACTTAAGTTAGACAGCAGCACCGTCAATCTCATTGACAGCTTCAAACCCCAGTGGGGCTGCCCAGACGTCCCTTCCACTGTCTCTACTCTCCTACGCTCAGGCGTTGGGCAATCTCTAGCGTAGTGGCCTATACCTTTACGCCCCTTGCACGTCTCTCCTAACTTGTACACCCTCAGATCTCCAGATAAATAGCTCCTTGCTTGGCGCACCTTACGCTTGCATTGATAGCACACTGTTACTGCCCCATCATCCTGCATTGGTTGAGGTACCTGGCCTCCACGGGTGTTGCTGCACGACTAGTCCTTGTTGCGCCTCCCGCTAGGCTCAGCCCTCCATTGGGAGGCTATTGCAGCTAAAACTGTTGCTGCGTCTCTTCAATTTTTATACTTAGCTGTACCTCTCTCTGTGGCGGCCATGTTAGTTCAGGTGGAATAGTAACCGACTAGATAATCTGCCGATAGCTACCTATCCCTAGCAGCCATCTTACTAAAGCTAGTTATGTACACCCTATGATAGCCTTTTCATTTGTTGTTTTTCATTTGTTGAATAAGAGTATCCCGGTCACTCTTACAGAAATACTGTATCAGGCAGTGTTTCAGGTGGGCCCACTAATCATGTCCAAATCTGTTTGCTAAGTGCGCCCAATATTGTAGAGCTTCCTCCTCTTAATATTCTTTTAGATCGTTACCCCAACAATCTATTCTTAGTTCCCCTCTCCATAAACCAATACTCCATGAGTGTGAGGAAGGACTCCGTGCTGTCTCCCTTCGCACGGATGATTGTTAGCCCCACAACAGGCAGTGGTTGAGGCATGCTCTGCTCTACTAGCTTTTCTTGCAGCCGTTTGGGGCCTTGCTTTAACCTTTAGATATCTCTCGCTTTTTCCTCTACTAGGGCTGACCCCGCTACGGGTTTCGTGGGTGCTACAACCTGAGGTTGTTGGGTAGTATCCTGATAAGAAAGTGTGGAAGGGAGCTTTATACTTGCTAGACTGGCTGGACTGGTCTCATGCTCTGCTGAGATTCTCAGTGATGTTCTGTTAGGTGTGGCCATAACAAATGCATTTAGTATATTCGCTCGGTTTGCTACTTCCGAGGTTCTGGGCTTGTTTAGGAGGGTAAAAAGAAAACAAAAACACAAAAACGATTCCCAGAGCAGCCCCCAAATGTACTGAACTGCGGTCTCAGCTGTTATACTATGGGTGTACCTTATATGAACACTACTGGGTTAAGTGGTTATATCGAAGGAGTAAACACAGCCTATCTGGGTCATATATAACAACTCAAGGATCCAAATAAACAACTTTAAAACATATTCAAGTCCATTAAACTTAAAAGAAGGAAACCTTAAAATAATAATCTGGTGCCTAAGAGAGCAGTCTCATAGCTACTCCCAAACCCTCACGGGCCTGCCGAGCATTCTTGACTTTATTACTTTTAGATTTTTATCTAAAGTATTTCCATTGATCTCTATTCGTATTATATTTGTTCTTTTTACATCTAACGAGGCCTCTGAAGGCTCAGCTTGAGCTCCATTGTAGTGCCTCTTGTCTATACCCGCCCTCTGCTGAAGCTGCATGCATTGAGGGTAATAGTATTGTCTTGTACTGTATGCATTTTTCTTCCTTTCTACCTTTCGACAACATAATCGAAATACAGCTTCAAGGGATACCCTAAACCCTAAACCCTAAACCCTAAACACTAACGCACAACCTGCAACTCGCTGGGCCACCACGTGTGAGGGCTGCTCTCCGTTAAACATAATATAAGGTTTAGGGTTTAGGGTTTTGGGGGCTGCTAATGTATGCTCTTGGCGATTAGGGTTTATCCTGTGGATTGCTATGCGTGTCCTGGTGTCTCTTCACCTTTAATTTAAAATAAGACAAACGAAAAAAGAAAAAAGAGAGATGCAATTTACGTTTAGGGTTTGAGGCAGCTCTCTTCTTAGCCTTCATCGTCTGACGAGAAGCTGGAGGAGCTACCCTCCTGCTGCTGCTGCTCTTGCTGCTGCTGCTTGTTTTGCTGCTGCTGCTCGTTAAGGCCCTTCTGGGCTAACTCGCGAAGCTGCTGCTCGTGCACTGCCATCGCATCATCCTTTGAGATGCCGTAACGCTCCAGCCGCTGCAGCAACAGCAGCAACAGCAGCAGCAAAAACACAGCATGCTACGCCTGCTGCCGCAGAGGCAGCTGCTGTTGCTTCTCTTGCAGCAGCAAGGAGCGGGTTGGGGGAAAACGGTCTAGGGTTTAGGGTTTAGGGTTAATTACCTCTCGGAGCTCATCTAAGGCGCTGAGACACTCATCAAAATCTTGAGTTTTAAACAACGCGCAGCAAAGCACCAGCCAGACCTGCGGCTGAAGAGCAGAAGCACCAAACCCTAAACCCTAGATATCCTAAACCCTTGAAACCCTAAACCCTAACAATAAACCCTTCCATCCTCAAGCTCTACGAGAGCAATATGCATGCGCCGCTTTGCTGCTCTTCTTCAAAAGACACAGCCCCATTTGATAGGCGAGCAGCAACAATTATCACAGCAGCAAAAGTAGCAGCGGCAGTAGCCTGCCATGCAGCAGCAGCAACAAAAACAGCACCTGGGTAGTAACAGCCCCAGTAGCAGAAGCTCCAGTAGGAGCAGCAGCAGAAGCAGCAGCAGGAGCAGCAGTAGCCGATTTCGGTTTGCCTGTGTGTACGTACATCCTCATCGTTTTCCTCTAGGCACGTCTTTAAGACTTCGAGGGCCTGCTGCAGCATTCCTACATCAATAAATAGTCGTGCAGCATTAACGCGGGTCTCTAATGAAGGGAGATCAGGCTCTTCTTCATCTTCTGCTGCACTTAAATCAAAAGAAGCTGGGTCTAACCTCGCCTGAGCCAATGCCTTCTCCCGCAGCCGTTTCAGTGAGGTGTACAGACTCTCTGCTGCACTCACCGCGCCCTCAGCATCATCTGAAACAGCAGCAGCAGCAGCAGCAAGAGATATCCTGCTGCTTCGGCAGTCGCAGCAGCAGCGGCTAGTGCAGCAGCAGATGCAGGCCTATAAAGATACAAATTTTATAAACAGCTGCTACTGCAACACGCCAAACGAGGAGACAATCTCCACTGCAGTATCACCTTCCCCTTGCTGCAGCAGCAGCAGCTGCTGCTGTTTTACAGCAGCAGCCCTAGCAGCTTACCCTTGACTTTCTTCATCTGTGCGTCGCAGAGAAGAGCATCCGGGCTGTCGGGAATAAGCTGAAGCGCCTTCTGAATAGCCGCTGTTGCTTCCTGTTCTGCTTCTGCCGCATCGCAGAGGTCTGTGAGGTACAGCTCTGCAACGGAGCAGTAGGCACGCGTCAAGTCGACCTTGAGCTGCTGTTCTTCTGCTGCTTTTGCTGCTGCTGCTGCTCTTCGTGCAGAGGCTGCTGCCTTCTTGCTAGACAGGTAAAAAGCTGCTGAAGAAGATTGCACAGAAGCCAAAGACGACTCCAACATCGAAATGGCTGTGCGGTATAAAGGCAGACAAGCAGACCCGTCTTCAAGCTGCGCCATCTGCAGATATTTCACGGGTCCCGAAGAAGGCTGAAGAGAAATAAAACGCAGCGACATAAAGCAACAACAGTCACTAGCAGAAAGCCTGCAACTGGCATACAGTGGCTCAAGGCCGACTTGACGCGTGCCTACTGCTCCGTTGCAGAGCTGTACCTCACAGACCTCTGCGATGCGTAGACAGACACGAGAGAAATTGAATAATTGAATAAGCACAGCGAGCCCGCTTGAGCCCGCCTTTCAAGACAACTAAAATGTGTTTCTTGCCTCTAATTGTATAGCCTTTTGAAGCAGTTCCTTCGCCTCAGAAGTCTTTCCCAATTCTGCATATTCGCCCGCAAGCTTCTGCAAGAGCTCGACGTCGTTGGGGTGTACAGACACCCCCTTTTCGAGAAACATGACGGCCAGCTTTAAGTTAGGGGGAAACGAAGACAGACATTCCTCTGCCTTGGACACGAAAAAAGAGGCTGGCTTTCCACTGGACCGCGGCAACTGCGTAACTGCAGATGGGGGGCCCCCCTCATCACGGGGGCCTTCCTCTCCGTCTACTTCCATGGAGGAGGCTAATGGGTGTAGTGAAGAAGCGTAAAGAAGGCTTCTTAGACGATAAGAGTAAAATACAATGCTGTAGATTGCAGACTAGAGTATAGCGAATGAATCTGTTAAGTGTTAGAGCGCATGCCCTCCCGTGGCGTTTCAGAGGCTGGAGGCAGTGAAGCGCAGGGAATAACGAGAGGAAATATCTACAGAAATAATAAGGTTTTAATTTTAATTTCGTTAATATGCAGAATGTGAGACCATGCGCTCACCCCACATCCACCGATCGCCGACGCAGGGCAGCCGTCGTATCGGTCCTGTTCGAGTTCCGCAGGTTAAGCAGTTAGAAATTAGGGCGATCCTCCTGGAAACCAGCGGGTAAATACCTTAAAATACTTGTATTTTGCAAGAGTTTATAAATGTGCAAGCATTTAATCAAGAGGTTTTTCACGCCGTGGATTGATTATTAAGATATTCCACTACAGCCCGCAGCTCCATCCGCAGGGTGGTGGAGCGGCGTCGGCCTTAGTTTCCGCTCCATTGGCTCTTTTTCGTCTTTTTCGCTTAAATTTTAAATACTTGGAAGCCATTTTACTTTTTTGCAATTTGATCTGCATTCAAAGAACCTGAACCCATTTCTTCCGCCTCTTCCACCGTCCCCAGCCCCTTCCCACCGCCGCCGTCGCCGCTCTCGTGTGAACAATCGACGCGTTGCGTTCTTCTCGGGCGTTCTGAGGTTCTCTTTTTCGTGGTACTTTTTGTATTTACTCATTGAAAGCAGGCCTGCTGAAGAGAGGGAGGAGAGAAACCCATCTTCCCGCTCCTCGCTCCCTGCCGCGCCGCAGGGGCAGCTGGTGAACCCAGTGGCGTTCTGAAAAGGTTGCTGCGCATACATTGCCACTACGAAATGAAGGGCGCGAGCCTCAGAACACCTTTTTTCTGGCTGCCTGTAGCCTTTCTTCTTGCATTGCGGTGTGGAGTTGCCGCTGAGGAGAATCCATCATTGCCTTCAGGGGCGGAGCACCAACCCGCGCAGCAGCCAGTCCCTCCTGCACCCACATCAGCGGACAACAACGAAGGAACCGCCGCTGAAACTTCTGCTTCTCCTGTTGATCCTGCTGGTGCTCCTACAGCCTCGTCACCCGACGCGCAGCAGCTGCAGCAGGAACAGCAGCAGAAGGCCTCGAACGCACCCGACTGGGACGCTGGCAACTTCCCCCCCAGCCCATTAGAGAAAGCTCTCTACCATCTTGGCGAAGCGGCAGGAGGAGACAACACCACCGCTCCGCTTCAATACGAAGGCGCAACAACAGGAGCGTCATCGCAAGCAGCTGCAGCAAATGATCTTCAAGGGGCAGCGGACGGGGAAGCAGCAGCAAAAGAAGCAGATGCTACAGCAGGAACAGCAGCTCAACAGGGATCTTCAGGCATACACAACGGTAACCGTCTAAGAGGGCAAGCAGAGGGAGGAGCAGCATGGGCGGGGCACTCAGGACGGAATCCAGCAGCAGATGGGGAAGAAGCAGCACGGAAAGCTGACGAAGCAAAGAAAGGGTCAGCAGAGCGTCACGCAAAAGAAGGAAGAGGTGGTGCGCGAGCAAGCAAGACGTCAGGTGGTTCAGGATCAGGAGCATCATCATCAGGCCTCTCCGGCGGTTCAATAGATATCTCTGATTACCTATCCCCCTGTCACCTCCAATCTTTCCCTTCTCCTCCTTCATTTGGGCCTCGTTTTGTGGTTTTAGTATCTCAGTTAACTGGGGGGAAGATGCGCGTGCTGCGTGAGGGCTCAGTTTCAATGCAGTGTACCCCGTCTGACCGTATGCTCACTATCTTTTATGATTTTAACCCCAAATGCATCGTCAAGAGGTATATCAAAGCTATGCAGGGCTTCTTCGCAGGCCCTGTGCAACCTAAAACTAGGACAGAGCCTCTTCCTAATGGCTGCAGCTGCCATCACAGAGCAGGAGATGAAGCCCCGCCTGTCTTTGCTGTTCGCGAACCAAGAAAGGGAGACATTGATGCAATAGTTCTCCGCTGTGCAAACCAGCAAGAAAGAGTGTACCCGCTCATCGACTCAACGCAGCAGCAGGAGCAGCAGGAGCAGCAGGAGCAGCAGGAGCAGCAGGAGCAGCAGGAGCAGCAGGAGCAGCACTACGGGCCCTTCTGTCCCCTACCTGACCCTCTGGCTGCCTTAGGTGTGGTTCAGGGCCCCAGCGGAGTTCCAACAAAGGTTGGTTTCTGTTTATTTCGTGTCTTAGGGCTTTCTTTTACGTCTGTTTCTGCGGGTTTGTCTAGCTTGAGTGTGAGGGGGAGATTTGGTAAGGAGGGGGAGGAAGAAGAAGAAAGCTCTGTGCCAGTTGATCTACCAGATGAGTGCGCTCTTGTAGATGCAAGAGATGCGCTTATCTTCAAGGGCCCCGCCATGTGCACAAACACCCCTTCAAAGCATCAGGACACCCCTTGCACCGCTGTTTACCTCTTTACAGCGGGCCCACCAAACCCCAAACATGAAAAACATAGAAATAAGCCTGTCAAATTCCAAAAGGTTCCCTACGACAGCATCGCCGACCTCTGAACGCGCCTGCGGCAGCTGCAGCAGCAGCAGCAGCAGCAGCAGCAGCAGCAGCAGCAGCAGCAGCAGCAGCAGTAACGGCTGCAGCAACGACAGCAGCAGCAAAAACAGCAGCAGCTGCAGCAGCAGCAACAGCAGTGGCAGCGGCAATACCTCTTTTTGTATGCGCGTTTGTGAGGCAGTAAAAAGGGGTGCGGCTGCTGCTACAGCAAAACTCTCCTCTGTTGCTGCTGCCTAGGGGGCCCCCGATGCTTGCTGCTGCTGCTTGCTGCTGTTGCCACGACTCGAAAGAGTGAAACAATAAAGGGAAAAAAGAAACGAGTAAAACCAAACAAAGGCTGTAAAGGGATACCGCACAAATTAACAGTCGCCTCGAGCTCTCCGTTGCTGCTGCGGAAGGCAGAGGCATGCCCTTCGGGGTCCTGCTGCTTCAAGAAGGTGCTGCAGAAGGTGCTGCAGCAGCAAGTGCTGCAGCACCTTCTGCAGCACCTTCTGCAGCGGCACTTCCAGCAGCAGGGCATGCAGCAATAGCTGCAGCAGCACCTGCCGCAGCACCCGCAGCATCACCTGCATCAGGAGCGCCTGCCGCAGCAACGCATGCAGCAATAGCTGCAGCAGCACCTGCAGCAGGAGCGCCTGCCGCAGCAACACATGCAGCAATAGCTGCAGCAGCAGCACATGCAGCAATAGGTGCGGCAGCACCTGCGGATGGGACACCTGCAGCAATAGCAGCTGCAGCACCTGCAGCAACAGCACTTGCTGCAACAATATCGAAATCAGCACATGCTGCAAGAGGTACAATGGCACCTGTAGTAATGGCTGCAGCAGCACCTGCAGCAGCACTTACAGCAGTAACTGCAGCAGCACTTGCAGCAGCACTCGCAGCAGTATGTGCAGCAGCGCCTGCCGCAGCACCTGCATCAGCACCTGCATCAGCATTTGCAGCAGCCGCTTCCAGCTGCAGCGGCAGCAGCAGCAGAAGCAGCTGCAGCAGCAGCAGCCGCAGCAAGAGCAGCAGCAGCAGCTGGAGCTGCTGCTGCTGCTGTTACTCTTGCTGTTGTTGGGTGCGCTTTGAATTGGCTTGTGCGTCTGCTCCGTGTTTGTGTAAGTGGCGTGTGTGGAGTTTGCCGCCTCTTTGCTGCGGCAGCAAGACACTGCAGCAGCAAGATACTGCAGCAGCAAGACACTGCAGCAGAAAAGGGGAAGCAAACCAACAGAAAGAAATGAGACAGGCACACGCTTTAGCCTGTCAGCAGCTTTCTACACAACAAGCGGAGACCTTCTCTAATTGAGGTGTCTCTCGGTTTGTTTGTGTTTTTCTCGTTCTTATTCTTACCGTTATTATTACCATTATTATTTTATATTAATGCGAACTTCATTATTCTTTATTACCAGTACTAATATTGCCTTAACCGTTATTATTTTTTGCAGGCTAAGTCGAGGAGATACCAGAGAGAGCCAGCACTCATAGTTAACGCGAAAAAAGAGATTAAACAAAGCACAAAATTAAAAGGAACTTCATATTCAAACAAATATATATATATATATATATATATATATATATATAGGTGTATGTATATAGATACATACAGTGTACATATGTGTGAAGACGCACAAATGCATATATTTATAAACATATATATGCTTACATATATGAAATGGGTGTATGTACAAACAATTATCTAGGCGAATGATCTACATTAGCATATCTATGATTATGTGCTGTGCGTATGTATCTATACAAAAATTGCGTCTGTATATACACAAATAAATATGCATGCACAAACAATGTTCATGCATATTAAATACGTTCGTACACATATAGATATATACATATTTACTTATTTATATCTACATACAAGCAGTATGTTTATATCTGTGTATATCAATATATAACCATATACATGTCTGAATGAAAACTTGCTGCACGTACAAGTATATAAATGCAAACCCACTGTACATAGAAGCTGAAATATATTATAATTGTACATAGTAAGCGTAGAAAAAGAAAGAATTACTTCATTACACTGCGAAGACAAAAGGCAAATGCATCGACCGTGAAAACAGGATTTGGCGTGGGGTAAATCTGCAGAGATGACTGCAGTTAGTGAAAATATTTCAATTAAAATTCAAAATGAACCTAAATAAATCCAAAACATTTTGTTTTCTTCGCGTCTTGAGTTCTTCCTACCTTCTGAGCTGTGCGTACACCTTAGGGTGTTGCACACCGCGGTGCTGCACGCATTGCAGGTATATCGCTGACGTTAAAAGTAAGGGTTTTCATTATGAGTATGCAATTAGTTTGTTTTAATAAATTAATGCCATTGACATTGGCGGCATCAGCATTTTTCAAAAAAAAATGCTGATGCCGCCTCCTCCTCTGCGGTGTATCGACACCTCCCGATGCTTGCACGCGACAGTCGAGACCACTCAATGACAGCAGCAGCTCTCACTCATTTCCGTTTTTATTTGCGTTCGTTCTATATATTCTTTTCTCCCCTTTTCTTCACACTCTACTGACGCTTGCAGTCAGTGCCATTGTAGCGCAAACAGCCGCTCAAATCGGCTCCTTCACCCCAAGCAGATACAGCAGCACTTTTGCTGCAGCAGCAGCAGCAGCAGCAGCAGCAGCTGCTGCTGCTGCTGCTGCTACTGCACACAGACACATCTGCTGCAGATACGCAAGCAGTAACACCCCTTTTCCAACGTCTTTTCTTGTCTTGCAATGAAGAACTCACGAATGCACACGGCCCTCCTTTGGGTGCCTCTTGCTGCAGCAGGAGCTCTCTCTCTCTTGTCAGCAGCAGCTTCTGCTGCCTCACCACCCAGATGCACATGCTGCTCCCCATATAAATCAAGCCGCCACTTCACTAAACCGCAGCAAACCCCCTCAAGCTCGTATCTCTCTCTTCCTGCTGCTGTCTCCTTAAGAGGGAAAACCGAAGAAGTTCGCCCTTCGACGCCCCCTAGATCATTTGGGGTGTCTCTGCGGGCACCTCCAGCAACAGCAGAACCGGCAGCAGCGGCAGCGGCAGCGGCAGCAGCAGTAGCAGCAGCAGCGAGGTCGAAGCAGCAGGGGAGGTGGAACGCCTCTAGTAGTGGCTTCTCAAGGAGATGGGGGGCGAACACAGACAATGGCGGTGCTGCTGCTGCAGCAAGATATAGCGCAACTGCCAGCAGCAGCAGCAGCAACAGCAGCAGCAGCAGCAGCAACGACAGCGATGAGTCCTCAACTCCGACAGAAACTGAAGAGACCTCGAGGACAGACACCGGAACAGAAACCACCACCACCCAATGGGGCGCATACACTCCAAGACGTGGAGCAGCAGCAGCAGCAGCAGCAGCAAAGCCAGCAACAGCACGAACAGCAGCAGCAGCAACTGCAGCAGGACCAGCGGCAGCACCTAGGATCTTCCCGCTGCGTCTACTGAGTCGACGGACGCTCTCTGCTGCTGCTGCTGCTGCTGCTGCAAGGGGCTCCGCACGTAAACGAGCACCAAGAACAAAAACTGCAGCACCAGCAGGAGCAGCACCATCGGCAAGACCAGCAGCACCTGTAGCAGCAAGACCAGCAGCACCAGCAGCACCAGCAGTGTCAGTAGCACCAGCAGCAGCACCAGCACCAGCAGCAGCAGCAGCAGCACCAGCAGTACCAGCAGAGTCAGCAGCAGCAGCACCAGCAGCAGCAGCTGCTGCTGCTGCAGCAGCACCAGCAGCACCAGCAGCATCAGGACTCGCAGCTTGGCTCCCTTATGATCCTACAGCATATGATGCGCCGTGCGCCCGACTCTCAGCAGGTGGAGTTTCTTCTGCAGATGCTGCTGCAGATGCAGATGCTGCTGCAGATGTTGCTGCTGTTGCAGATACTGCCGCTGCTGCAGTTACTGCTGCTGCTGTAAATACAGCTGCTGCTGCGGTAAATACAGCTGCTGCTGCGGTAAATACTGCTGATGCTGCAGATGCTGCTGCAGATGCTGCTGCAGATGCTGTGGATGCTGTACCAGATGCTGCTGCACCTGTCGGCACGCAAGAAGCAGCAGCAGCAGCAGCAGCAGCAGCAGCAGCAGCAGCAGCAGCAGCAGAAGCAGCACCATCTGCTGCTAACGAGTTGATGCGTTTGTTTGGTTTGGTATCTGCACTGGAGAAGCACTTAGCCCCAATGCTGCAGCAGCATCCCTCCCTGCTTCGCCATTTGCGAGTTAGCTCAGCAGCAGCAGCAGCAGCAGCAGCGGCAGCAGCAGCAACAGCAGGTCGTGACAAGCCCTTGGTGCAGATACACACAGAGGTAGAAAAAGAAGCAGCAGAAGAAGAGCTAACTGCAGCAGCAGCAGCAAACCGCAGCAGCAACCAACAACGCCATCCTGCGTCATTCAACGTGAGAAAAAGCAGCAGCAACAACAGAAGCAGCAACAACAGAAGCAGCAGCAACAGGAGCAGCACCAACAGAAGCAGCAGCAGCAGCAACAGAAGCAGCAGCAGCAACAATACCAACAGCAGCAGGAGCAACGGAAACAAACCCAAAAACGGCAGCGGTGGCGGCAGCGGTGGCGGCAGCAGCAGCAGCAGCAGCAGCAGCAAGTTGCTGGGGCTGTTTGAAGCGGTTTGGGGGGCGGTGAGGGGTTTTGTAAGGGGCATCGTAGAGACAGCTAAGACGACGGAAGAGACATTAATAAGTTAAATAAATAAAACATATAAACAATTAACGAGTACCAGTAAACGAAGAGGCAAATAAAGCAGCAGCTGCAGCAGCTGCAGCAGCTGCAGCAGCAGCAGCAGCTGCAGCAGCAGCAGCAGCTGCAGCTGGATATCTACTTCGGAGGGTTTGTAGGAGGCTTCATATGAAAATAATAAAACAGATTGAGTGAGGAAGGTGTTACTGTACACACAAACCCCTGGGGTTTGGGGTTTAGGGTTTAGGGTGTAGGGGTTTTACCCTCTGGAGTAACAACCCTAAACCCTAATTCCTAAACCCTAAACCCTAAACCTTAATCCCAAGAAGCGTAAAGCAGCAGAAGTAGACGCGCAAGGAAAACCTCGAAAGCACAGCTGCAGCAGGGAAAGGGTTTAGGGTTTAGGGTTTAGGGTTTATATATCAGAATAATTGGGGGCGTTCGCTTCCCGTTGCCGTTCAATCCTTAAAGGTGCAGGCTGAGAGCAGCAGCAGCAGTTGCTGCTGCTTCCTCTCTTGCTTTTCTCTGTGCTGCTGCTGCTGCTGCTGCAGCAGCAGCTGCTGCTATTGCAAACACTGATTATATAAGTGTTTCTTGTGAACTTTTTTCGAGGGTTTTGTCGTCCCCTGGCTCCCTTGGGATGGCTGTCAGGGTTTAGGGTTTAGGGTTTAGGGTTGAGGGTTTAGCGTTCTGGGCGTACGGGTTTAGGTTTGTTAAAGTAGGGGGACCGAGGGTTTAGGGTTTATGGGGTATGCAGACAGTGGCTGCCCCTACGTTGTTAAGACCCCTTGCGCTTACTGCAAACCCTGAACCCTAAACCCTAAACACCAAGCTTATCTCGCGGGCGGAGTGGGTTGGTTAGGGATTCGAGAGGAAGAAGCTAGGGTTTAGGGTTTAGTAGGGTTTAGGGCTTGCAGGGGACTGACGACTGGGGGTTTAGGGTTTAAGGTTTAGGGCTTAGAGTTGTTGTGTCTAAGAAATAAGTGATAACAGCTTAGGGTTTAGAGGGAAGTGAGCCGCACAGCGCTAAACCTTAACCCTAAACCCTAAACCCTAAACCCTAAACCCTAAACCCTAAACCCTAAACTCTTTACACTAAACTCTCACTCCTAAGAATTGAGTTGAGAACGATTTCGGTTTTTAACCAGCAACGCGTTCTGCAGTGCAAGTTAAACTCTAGGGTTTAGGGTTTAGGGTTTACAGGGCAGCAGCACTCGACTGATGCTGCCTCTCGCAGCAAAACAAATAGAAAATCTGTTTGGGACTGCAAAACCCAAGAAAAGCCCTAAACCCAAAACTTGATTGAGGCTGATAGAGTGTGCGGTTTAGGGTTTAGGGTTTCGGGTTTAGGGTTTAGGGTTTAGAGTATAGACCTTCGCGTTCATACACCCCTTCTTCTCTATCTAACATATGCATGTAGGGTTTAGGATTTAGGGTTTAGGGTTTAGGGTTTAGGGTTTAGGGTTTAGGGTCTAGGGTTTAGGGTTTAGGGTCAATACCCTTACAGCGTCGAGGTCACCTCGGGGTCACCTTGCACCCCATGTACCGGGCCTCACTCGGGGTTTAGGGTTTAGGGTTTAGGGTTTAGGGTTTAGAGTTAAGGGTTTAAAATTAAGGTGTTTTGTTGTTTTTTATATTTATTACTACAATCGAAGAGCTTCTTTTTAAATTACATCTTCTCTCAGCTAAGCTGCTCAAGCGGACCCTTGGGAAGCCCGTAATACCCCTTGGAGGGTTTAGGGTTTAGGGTTTAGGGTTTAGGGTTTTTATGGGCTTGGGGATTGTTTGTTTTTTTAATCTTCAAGGGCGTTTACTTGCTAGACGGCCTACCTAAACCCTAAACCCTAAACCCTAAACCCTAAACCCTAAACCCTGGGGATAATAGGCCCCAGGAGGGTTGCAATGTTGAATTCTACTTTACCTAGACTGGGGGTGGTGAAGAACAACCCCACCCCCCCCCCTCCATGTACACTCCATAAGGGATACGGCGGAGTTGCTGCGCTGCTGATGCAGCTGCAGAGCGGCAGCAAATGTGTGCAAGCTCAGGCTGTTGCTGCTCTCGATTCCTTCTTTAAGAATGCAGAACACTGTGTAGCCGCATATAAAGCAGGTAAACTCTCTAGGGTTTAGGGTTTAGGGTTTAGGGCGACTGGGGAGGTAGTTTAGGTTTTATGCTTTAGGGATTAGGGTTTGGTGTTTTAATATGCGATTTAGGGTTTAGGGTTTAGGGTTTGAGCTGCAATCTCAGCATCGAGCTTTCAGGGTTTTGTTTCTAATGTTCAGCGTGCCAGACTAGGGCTTGATAGGGAGTTTAGGGTTTAGGGTTTAGGGTTTAGGGTTTAGGGTTTAGGGTGTATTGTGTATGGAAGGCATCATACCGATTCTCATTCAATTTGCTGCTGCCAAAGCTCAGCCCCTGAGGCGGCTATCGGTGAAGGCCCTAGCGAGGTAAAGAACAAGCAGCAGCAGCAGCAGCAGCAGAAGCAGCAGCAGCAACAGCAGCAGCAGCAGCACGAGCAGCAGCAAGGGACATAGAAGACGGAAAGAGAGGCAGAGAGGGAAAAAGCAAAAAACCTGCAGAAGCAGCAAACCAACACAAATAATAAATGAGCGACACTGCACGCCACCTGCTGCTGCTGCTGCTGCTGCTGCTGTTTTTGCTGCTGCTGCTGTTGCTGCTGCCGTTGCTGTTGCTGCTGCTACTGCTGCTGTTAATGCTGCTGCTGCGGCTGCTGTTGCTGTTGCTGTTGCTGCTGTTGTTGCTGCTGCTGCGGTTGCTGTTGCTGTTGCTGTTGTTTTTGCTGCTGCTGCTGCAGGTTTGCCTCACATGATGGGCCGCGTCGTTTGCTGCTGTTGCCTCCGGCAGAGCAGCAGCACCAGCAACTTCTGCTGTTGCTGCAGCAGCAGCAGACAGTTCGTCTGTATTTGAACCAGCCTGGGTTGTCGAAGGAAAGGCAGCAGCAGCTGCAGCAGCAGCAACAACAACTGCAGCAAGAGCAGCAGCAGCTGTTGCTGCAGCCGCAGCAGGAACTGCTGCTGCCGCTGCTGCCGCTGCTGGAAGACAGAGACACAGAAACTCGTCTCTCTTTTATACAGCTGGCGCTGCATGTTGCATCAAGGCGAGAAGGTAAGGTAGCAGCAGCAGCAGCAGCAGCAGCAGCAGCAGCATTTAGTGGCGCTGCTGCTGAGTGCGAACGCTGAGATAGACACTTCTGGATTGCCTTAACAATATCATTGCCGCAGCAACAGCAGCAGCAGCAGCAGCAGCAGTAGCAACAGCAGCAGCAGCAGCAGCAATAGCAACAGCAGCAGCAGCAGCAGTGTGCTTTGCTGCTGCAGGTGCGGAGTTCCTTATGGTGAAGGGGCTGCTGCAGGCTGTCCTGAAGCGGCTGCTGCCTCCAGAAGCAACAAGCGAGACTTATATTTCTCTCCTTATAGAAGAGCTGCAGCAGCAATGGGAGGAGGAGCAGCAGAAGCAGCAGCAGCACCCGCAGCAGCAGCTGCTGCTCCAACTTGCACAAACACAAGCGACGAAAGAGGCAATGCAGCACCAGCAGCAGCAACTGCAGCAGCAACTGCAGCAGCAGCAGCAGCAGCAGCAACACGCTGTCTCAGGCTTTCCTGTTGGATGCGTCGATGGCTGCTTCGGGTTCGTGCGAGAAGCAGCTGCTTGCAGCGTGCAGCAGCAGCAGCAGCGACAGCAGCATCAGCAGCAGCAGCAACTGGAGGTGCTGCAGCAGCTTGTGGAGAGAGCAGACACCTTCCTTGTTGAGGGGCAGTTCGGCTTCAGCAGCAACGCAACAGCAGCAGCAGCAGCAGTCGATGGCAGCAGCAGCAGCAGCAGCAGCACACAGGGAAAGGGAGCCGCAGCAGACTCTCTTTTTGTAGATGGCTTCTTTGGCTTTGTTCGCTGCACAAGCTGCCGCCGCAGCAGCAGCAGCAACGGCAGCAACAGTTGCTGCAGCAAAGGAGAAACTGTTGTGTATACACCTGAAACACTTTGTATTGATGGCTTCTTTGGGTTTGTGCGCTGCAGCAGCAGCAGCAGCAGCAGCAGCAACTGCAGCAGCAGCTGCTGCGGAGACGTTGCTTACATTCCTGAGACCCTGTGCATAGACGGCTGCTTTGGCTTCATCCGCTGCATCAGTCACTGCAGCGGAAGCAGCAGCAGCAGCAGCAGCAGCAGCAAACTAGATTTTATGCAGCGGCGCATGCTGGCCGATGGAGGGTACGGATGGGTCTCCTTCCCCTGTGGATGCAGCAGCAGCAGCAGCAGCAGCGGCAGCAGCACGAGCAGCAGTAGCTGTTCCTGCAACACCTATGCTATCGACGGTGCTTACGGCTTTGTCAGGGAGGCATCACCCTTTGGAAATGCTGCAGCAGCAGCAGCAACAGCGACGCCGGAAGGCATGCAGCAGCAGCAGCAGCAGCAAGTGCAGCAGAAGCAACAGCGGCAGCAGCACCGCATCCCTTATATGCACGGAGCTCCCTGCCATTGGGCCTATTATGAGGTGGTGGAGACGCAGCAGCAGCAGCAGCAGCAGCAGCAGCAGCATAGGAAACTAAACGGATGCCCGCGGTTGTGGCTCGCTGTTGATGCTGCGGAGCAGGTGCAGCAACACCAGCTGCTGCTGCAGCAGCAGCAGCTGCAAAAGCTGCTGCTGCTGCAGCACCAACGGGTGGAAGAACTCCTTAGCCCCCCGAGTAGCCCACACGCTGCAGCAGAAGCAGCAGCAGCAGCAAATGCAACAGCAGCAGCAGCAGCTGCTGCTGCTGTAGGAAAGGAGGGCCATTTTGAGGTTGCGGCGGCAACTGCAGCAGCAGCAGCAGCAACTGCAGCAGCAGCAGCAGATACCTCCCCAAAGGAAGCCCAGTATATTGCTGCCTCAGCAGCAGCAGACTCCTTCTGCCCTGCAGCAGCAGCAGCAACTGCAGCAGCAGAAGCAACGAACATTTCAGCAACGGCAATTGACAATGTACCACCACCAGGAGCAGCAGCAACAGCAGCAGCAGCAACAGACACGAGCATCCCGTGCCCAGCCAACAGAACAGAGCGCGCTGCTTTGCTGCAGCTGCTGCATGCATTTGCTGCTGCCTCTCCTACAGGCCTCGATGCTGCAGCAGATATAAAACCCCTAGCGGTGCAGCAGCTATTCGATTGGGCGTTTGCTGCTGACGTTGCTGTGTCAGCTGCCGCAGCAGCTGCTGCTGATGCTGCTGCGGGGGCTTCCCCTTGCAGCAGTTGCGGCAGAGGCAGCACCAGCAGCAGCAGCAGCAGGCGACCCTCCTCTAGCCGTGCAGCAGCTGAGCAGCCAGACACCTCTCCTGCTGCTACAGAAGCCAGAGCAGCAGCAGCTGTAGTTGCTGCGTCTGCTGCAGCCTCTCCTAGGGCTGCAGCAAACGCAGCAGCAGCAGCAGGAGCAGCAGCAGCTGCTGCTGCTCCTGGTCCTAAGAAGACAGCAACAGCTGCTGGAAGCAGCCACACACCCGCTGCCTCGCGCAGCCTGCTGAGCAAGCAGCAGCAGCAGCAGCAGCATCAGCAGCTTTTTGTCTCCGGCTCCAGCCGCAGCCCTTCCCCTAACCCACCTGCTGCTGCAGCAGGAGGAGCAGCAGCGAGTGTTAAGGGTGCTGGTGGTGCAGCAGCAGCAGCAGCAGCACCGGCAGCAGCAAGTGCTGCTGCTTCACGAAAGGCATACATAGCGCAGCTGCTGCGGTTTATCTCTATTGTAGCGGGGCTGAAGGTGCAGCAGCAGCAGCCGGTGCTGCTAGCAGCAGGATTGCTGCCGCGGCTTGAAGCCCTTTTGTCTTTGCTGCTGCAAGGCGCAGCCAACCCAGCCCCAGCCTGCAGCAGCAGCAGCACCACGAGCAGTAGCAGCAGCAGCAGCAGCAGCAGCAGCAGCAAAGGGTGCCCCAAGACGGGGGGTCAGTGGCTTGCGGTGCCTCTACACCCCATCACTTTTCCTACACCCTGGGACTGCGGCAAGCAGCAGCTGCTGCTGCAGCAGCAAAAAGCTACAGCAACCGTCCGCACCATTCAAGTAAGCCCAGCTAGCTCGCTAGCTAGCCAGACAGCTAGCGAGTTCGCCAGACAGCTAGTTGGACAGCTAGCTAGACAGCTAGCTAGCTAGACAGCTAGGTAACTAGCTACACCGCCACTCATATACCGAACAGCCCAGCCCGCTACATCCATAGGTAGTAGTCAGCTAGTTAATTAGCTAGCTAGCTAGCTAGCTAGCTAGCCAGGCAGTCGCCCAGCTAGCTAACCAACGCAAGTACATTCCCAGATAGCTAGCTAGCAAGACACTCAGCCAACTGGCTAGCCAGCTAGCCACTCACCTCTCTATCTATCTACTTAGCTAGCTAGCTAGCTGGCTAGCTAGACAGTCTAGGATGGCTAGCTGGCTTGTTTGTCTTCAGAGCGAGATGAAGGCCTCCCTCTTTGCTGCGGGGAAGGGGCCCCCACCTCCTCCCCCCTGCGCCTATGCAGCAGAACGGCTGCTGCTGCTCAGCTGTCTTTGCTGCTGCTGCATGCCCACGGAAGCCACGCAGCCGCAGCAGCAGCAGCAGCAGCAGCAGCAAGAGGGGGAGACAGAGCTGCCCGCTTCTCTCGTGCACTTGGTTGCTGCTGCTTGTCTTCTGGAGCAAGAGCCTGCCAACCTCAACATGGTAAACCCTAAACCCTAAACCCTAAACCCTAAACCCTAAACCCTAAACCCTAAACCCTAAACCCGATGCTGAATTTGCCGCTTAATTCCTGTTAACCCCAAACCCTAAAGCCAGAACTTGGCCTGCAGCTCGCTAAAATCTAAACCCTAAACCCTAAACCCTAAACCCTTGTAGAGTTTGATATGATGCAGGCTTTGCAACTGGCTACACTGTTGGCTCTGCGTCCACAGCAGCGGCATTTGCTGCGGCCTCTGCTGCAGCAGCAGCTGCTGCAGCAGCAGCAGTACTTAGAAGTAATTATTAGAGAGACATCAGACAACAAAGAGAGACAGCTGCAGCAGCAAACAGCAGCACAGGTTGCTACGCTGCTGGCTTCCCTTCAGCGCAGGGGCAGCAGCAGCACGCCAGCAGCAACAACAGCAACTCCTGCAGCAAACAACCCCTCTGCTGCTGCTGCTGCTGCTTCTAAAAGGTGTTAAGAGAAGAGACTAACAAAGGCTGTCTCTTACACCCGAACAAAACCGAAAAACAAATTGATGGCTTCGCCGCTAATTGCAATCAAAAAATTTTACGTTCAAATTAACAATAAAAATATTTAGAAATGTATGGACATATATTATATATATTATATATATTATATATATTATATATGTTATATATATTATATATATTATATCTATTACATATGTTATATATATTATATATAT